TGGAGTTTCCATTAGTATGCATTAATATTTACTTAGAAAATTTAAAGGAAAAAGGTAACTTTTCAACATATTTAAAAACACTATAATATGGATAATAGACACTAAAATATACAACAGTTAAGTTTTCATGGGTTTTAAATTATGTCCATTTGAATATTTTCCCAAGTCATCATTCTATTTATTCATTCATTTATTTATTTATTATTGTGAAAGTACTGTATAGAGGGGTTACAAGTACATGGGCAAGGTAATGAGTACATTTCTTATCAAGCATTGTAGCCACCTCCTTTGTTTCCCCTTCCCATCCCTTCCCATCTCCACCCCCTACCCTGCACTCCCCCCACACACACCCAAGTCATCATTCTTACTAAAACATTTATTACTGTAATGCTGCTGATTCTCAGCACATTTCTTGTGAGTAGAGAAAGGGCTGAATTGGCATCTGTGGAAAGCACATGATATAAAAACTTTTGTAGCTCTTAGCCAAAAGAGATTGCCTTATGAGTATTACATCATTTTGTGCTTGCTCTGCAACAGGTGAAGGTGACAGCAAGCAAATAAGCAAAAAATTAAACAGAAACTCCATTACCCAAAAGGAGAAAGCAAAGAAATGTGTTTATTCCTTACAGATGGACAGATTTGTCAGTGGGAGGCAGTATTAGGTGTGGCAGGCACAAGATGGTCAGGAATGCAGAATGACTTATTAGTTTCCTAGATGGCTGTAATAAAGTCATAAATATTATTTGGGTTGTTTAAACAAGCAGACATTTATGCTTTCACAATTCTGGAGGCTTAGTTTCCCAAATCAAGGTCTGAGCAGGGCTCTGCTCCCTCAGAAGCCAGAGGGTGCAGTGAAGGGTGGGGGTGGTAAGAGCATTGCTTTAGTGCCTAAGGCTTTGCCAATCCCAAACATCCCCAATCGTGGTAGTTCCATCACTCAATCTCTGTCTGTACTTTACAGTGTTTCTGTCTCCTCTTCTTGCAAAGACACCAGTCATGGATTAGGATCCACTCTAATAATCTAATTTTAACTCAATCACATCTATAAAGACCCTATTTCTGAATAAGGTTACTGTCACAGATACAGGTAGGACTTCAAAATATCCCCAAAGGATTGCTATTAAACTTTAGCTCATGATAGATGAAGGTTAATAAAAGCTATTTTACATGCATGACCTTAATGTAAGACTTTAATTCAGTGGACTTTGAAACACTTCACAATCTGTTCAATTACCAAAAATAATGAAGGGGTTCTTTTTTTTTTTTTGAAGGAGTTCTTGACTAAGAAAATAAAATTCAATCTGAGTGCCAGTGGCTCGTGCCTGTAATCCTAGCTACCAAAGAGGCTGAGACCTGGTGGATGGGGGTTTGAAGCCAGCCCTGGCAGAAAACCCACCTCCAATTAACTAGAAAATGCCAGATGAGGACTGAGTTGTGGCTTAAGTGATAAGAGTGCCAGTCAAGCAAGCAAGGCCAGAAAAAGGGCTCGACTCTGAGTTCAGTGACCAAATCAGGAAAACAAGTTTAGGCACAAGACCTATTGTGATGGATCTCAGGTCCAGAAGACACCAGGGAGGAAAGAAATATGCATAAGGTAGGGTTACTCTCTTAGGGCTTCTGAGTCAGGTGCTCCCTCAACTCCAGTTGCTTTCCCTTTTTATCATCTCATGATATAGAGATAAACAGATGCAGCCTCAAAACCTTAGAAAGCAGGCATCAAGGGGGAAAAATGATAAAGGAGTAGAAAAAGGTCTTGGTAAGAAGAAATTAACAGGCGTTTGCAGGTATGTAACCAGGCAGAAGTAGGAGTTAAAATTTAAGCTGTTTCTTTCAGTATTTCCTGATCTTGTTACGTCTTTTCAGTGTGAAATGCACAATATTCTAGACACCAGTATAATGCTCTAATATCAAATCAGGTTTGCCTTTGGTCATTATGTAGTGAGAGAAGAAAGGCAACAGCAATTACATGAACAACTTAATTTACAAAGAAAATAGAGTGGAGCAAGTGAGAAAAAAATTGGAATATTAGTGAGTGGTATGATAGCTGGAGGGAGGAGATATGGCTGTGGAAAATCTCCTGCTAGGAAATATGTACCATCATCAAAGACAGCTCATCTTCTTCTAACGTATGGGTTCTACGTAATATCTCAAGTTGTGATGAGTCATACACAGTCTTGCCTGCTGCTATCTCCCAAAATCTGTAGATCAATTGGTTTTTTATGAGACAGATTTCCTTCTTGTAGATTAGGGTTTTTCCCCCCCTCATCATTGTATTATGATTTATTCCAGTTTATTTCAGTCTAAGTGCTCTGATGCTAATATATTTAGCTTATGTAAAAAAGGGAGTGGTTTTTTTTTTGTTGGTTGTGGGGCTTGAACTCTGGGCCTGGGCGCTGTCCCTGCGTGCTGAAGCGCTCAAGGCGAGCGCTCTACCTCTTGAGTCACAGCACCACTCCCGGTTTTCTAGTGGTTTATTGGAGATCAGAGTCTCTTTTCTGCCCGGGCTGGCTTTGAATCTTGATCTTCAGATCTCAGCCTCCTGAGTAGCTAGGATTACAGGTGTGAGCCACTGGTGCCTGGCAAAAGGAGTGTTTTTAGGTATCAAGTACAGGGCTTTTCTGAGCTTTATAAGGAATAGGAAACTGAACAACTATGGCGACTCATAGTGTGAGCTATTTTTCTCTGCAACTCATGCACAATAATCAAGATGACCTCATCTCACAATAGCAGATAACTTTAGTGGGTAAGTAACCTAATTCAAGAGAATAACAGTCAGATCGAATTTGTTCTTACATAGTTTGATATAAAGTTGAAGTTGGAAAATAGCCAGTTCAGACCAGAATGAACTACACAGAGAAACGCTTTCAAAAAAGAAAGAAGAATGATAGAAAGAAAAGAAAGAAAAAGAAAGAAAGAGAGAAAGGGAGGGAGGAAGGAAGACAGGAATAGAAAAACTTTAAGAAGCTTGAAGCCAAGACATGATCTCACACTTAACTGAGTTAAAGTCTTATGGCTGGCATGGGTTTGGGGTGTGGCAGTCAACTGTCTCTGTTAGGCTTCACCATTGTGGAAGGACAGAATCTTGCCACATGACTGAATACATAGCACTACAGTTTAGAACTTGTCATTAATTTTTATTATCTCTGAGCCTCCCTCTATAGTTTTGAGTGTGAATGTAATTAACATCTAGTTAGCATTTGTTTCTCTTATTTCACGAATATCATAAAGAACATGGTCAAATTCCTTAGAATTCTCCTTTATCATTATCAAAGAATAAGGGTAAACTCATCCTGGGGAGGACATTACTAGCTATGCCACTACCAAGAATCACATAAAGAACTCCAAAGGTACAGGTGCACGGTAAAAAGCTCCACATTCAGGGGTGGCATTGGTTTAATTTCATATCTTAGTGAAAAAAGAAACTTGAAAGAATCTAAGTACTCGACTTTTATCTTTCTGTGTGGGTAGAGGGCTTACCAAGTCTATAAACTTACTGCTACTACATATTTTTCCTTGTCTATCTTGTCTTGTTCTGGTGAAACCCTGAGCTACGGGATGATCTGAATCATAACACACTTATGTGCAGTGAAGTAGGGAGCTCTCACTGCATTTCTGCAGCCATGTGAACGATGAACACTAGCAACGAACACAGACCTGTACAGTCTGTTTCTCGGGCCATTTTGGCCTGGCCACTTAACCACTGGCTCCTCTCCCTCTCTCACAGCCGCGGTGACATTTTCCCTGGTACTTGAACTTGTGGATCAGGTTCTCTTCTCCAGTCTTTCGTCTTGGCTAGTTCCCCTGCCCGAGAAACTCTTCCCAGATGGCCACAGGGTTCGCTCACTTCAGTCCTTCACACCTGCGCTGTTGTTATTATTATTAGGATGATGATGATGGCACACTCTGTGGCTTCGATGCTCCTGGAGGGGAGGAGCACGCACGCCAGGCCAGCCGGGCACCCGGCAGGGGCAGCGCCAGGCCTCTGAGCAAACCAAGGCGGCTGGGCAGGATGGTGATGCTGCTCTTCTCCTCGATCCTCTTTCCTCCCTTCCCACGGCTGGCGTCGGGCGCTCGGAGGGGCAGCCAGCCCCACGAGCGCGGCCGGGGCAGCGCCGCCCCCCCCCCGGGGCTGCTGCTTCCCCCACCCCGGGCCCGTCTCACGGAAGCAGAAAGGGCAGAAGGTGCGGGGCGGCCGGGAAAGTCGTCTCGGCGCGGAGCAGGCCGCCCGCGGCTGGGCCTGCCCGGCCCGGCTGACTCCTCAGCCCGCCTTCCAGGGCGCGCACGCGCACACACACACCGTCGGGAGGAGTCCCTGCGGCGCCCCAAAGGGAAGCGAGCCCCGGCCACCCCCCCACCCCGGAGTCTCCTCGCGGGACTCTCTCGGGGGAGCTGCCGCGGGAACCTTCGCCATTCCCCCCACCCCCCCGCCCACGACCGCGAGCCTATACGGCACGCGCCTGCGCACTCCAACACCTTCGCACCCCCTCCGTGGAGGGGGCGGGGCCGCGCATGCGCAACCCGGAGGAGGGGGCGTCCGGTTCCCGCCCTCCCGGTTCCCCGCCCTGCTCTCCAGCGGCGTCAGTCCGCTGAGGAGACCAGGCGGAGGGAGGAGACGACGGCGGTGACGGGCTTCCCACAGTGGGAGGGGTGTGGACTTGCAGGAAGAAGGGAGGAAGGGGAGCAGAAAGGGGGCAGCAGCGGCCGCGGCGCTGACAGGCTGGGCGGCCGCCCGGCTTTCCCGGGACCTCGCGCCGCCGCGTCGCCCTCACCCCCGTC